ATAATACAGTCATATATAATTAGAAACTGATAGTGTAAAAGTTTGAAACAGTATTCATAGATTGCATTTTGGCCACACATACGTACACTAGCCATTGGCTCTTCAGTCTCTAATTGAAAGAGTTACCTACAAACAGMTACTATATTATTTGTTCACAACCTTTCCACAGAATCCCACTACAGATTTAAAGGATGTCTTAAAAGACTCAAATATACAGTATTTCTTGCAGTGAATAAACTGAAATCATAGGAAGCGGTAAAATGAGTCCAGCCACAAATGAAGAGAATTCTGGTGCAGTGAGAACAAAGTTTTTTTTGTGATTTACATCATCACCAGTCCCCTGTTTCTCATAGATAAGCCAATACCTGTCAAAAGAGCGGCAGTTAATAGATAAATCCCTCAGAGTCTGAGTGTGCATTTTGTTTTCTCTCATCCTGRAGGACCTTCATGTCAGGTGGAGGGGACAGATGACAATCTTCATAAACAGACTTATTCAAAGCTGCTGAAGCAAATCAAAACATCTGGAAACACTAACACAACAGTTTTTGTGAAACCTGCTTTACAAACTGTTCCATCATCACAAATCAAGATTTGTATTTACCTACTATAAAACAGAAGCTGAGACAAATTTAAATCAGAATTTGTAAAACAAAATCAAATGTATTCCAGTTTCCCTCTGCTGCAGATGGGACTCAGTTCTACTTGGACTTTCTGGTAAAGAGTTGGATGTTTTACTTTACTATGTGGTACTTTTTCATACATTTAAAGAATCCAACACAATGTCAAAGTTTTTCTTCTTTTAATGTTGTGTAAACAAGCTGAAAGGTTTTGTCTGTTCAGCTCAAATATATACTGAAATGTGGTTTTAAAGTAAATGTTGTTCATATGTAATGGTAAAAAGGGAGTTAGGACGGAGAAGTTTTCTGTTTCAGGACTGGATTTGGGATGAAATTATGATATGTTTGTTATTAACTGTTATGATTCTTATAAAATGACTGATGCTGCAATAAAATGGAATCAAGTCCAAACTCATTTAGTCATTTCTTGTTTCTGTAACGATATTAGTAGGTAAATAGTGTTTTGACTGTGTTTTGAGAACTGACCTTTGAAAGCCTCATTGTAATAGTTTTTTTTTTGTTAATATATGGATTCATTGAAAGATAAATGAAAAAAAATAAAGATGGTATAAATATCCCCATTCAATACAAATAAAATGTTTATTCTGTTGCATCATTTCTAAAACATAAAAAGGGTAAATTAACAACTTACTACATACACAATCAAATTTGAGATTAGCCCAGAAAACCTAAACATGTTTTTTTTTTTTTTCATCTTGAAGAAAACATTAAGTTGCCGGCGGAAATGAGAAATGTGCATGCCACAAATGCTGATTGTGAGGGCTCCTTGTCTCCATGGTTGGCCCTCTGACTGGGGTTGCCGCCGGAGTCTGGCGGGTGGTCGGCTGAGGGCATGCGCTTGGTCGTTGGAGGTGTGTGGGGATGGTCGGGGGCATGGCTTCACTGCGGGGGGGCTGACAGGTCGGCCTGGTGCAGCCTGGGTAGAGCTTTGGCTGTCTGCTCCTTTCCATCCTGGAATGAATGGGTCTACCTCCTGGGTTCAGATGTGAGCTGCCCTCTATAGGGGGCAGGTGCATGTCCTGGGCCTGGGGGGTATAGAGTYTGTATGGGGAGTGTGAGTGGAGTATGGCGTCCATCTTGTGTGTCTTTGAATGAGTGGGTGTAAGGATGAGGGTGGGATTGTGTGAGTATGTATGTGTATGCTTGGATATGTGTCTGGGACTTGGGCTGCTCCCTCTTCTGGTCCATCTGGGGGCACACTGCTAGAGGTGGGGCCTTGCCCCCTGCCATACTGCCCTCTTGGGGGTTGTGCCTTTGCCTGTCGGTGCGCTGGTGGCTCTCTGTCTGGGGCTGGGTGCTTGGGCGTATGCCAGCTTGGCCTGGTGGCTGCCTGGTGGGGCTTGGGTCCTCTGGCTCTGTCGTGCCTCGGCTTGGTGCRGGCYGGACCTGTGAGCTCATTGCTGATGGCCCCGGGGTATTACTGCGTGAGGGGGGGTGTGTGTGTGTGGCGGGGGGGCTCTCCCGGTTCTTTCGTGTGGTCCACTCTAGGGTCTGGGCAGGCGGTTCTTCATATGCTGGTGCTCATGGGGGCATCTGCGCTTGGGGTGCCTTTTGGGGTCCTTGGCTCTGGTCTTCCTTATGTCTGCCTGGGGCCTTGGGGGTCAGGTCTGTGGTTCTCCACACTCAGTATTAAATATTCTTTTAGTGAAATCTTGTATAAACATGCATGCTCTCAGCCACACACAAACAGGTTTTCAGATCCTGGAGTTCCTGACAGTCACTGAATGAGTATATACAGTATGCATATGTATACATATCTATATATGTTGTATACACATATATTTTGTTGCTGTGTTTGGGTTTTCTCTGTTTTTGTAGGTGTGCAGACAGATCGGGCGGGTTGTCTTGTGTTTCCTTGGCATACATTTCACATATTTTCTAATCTCTCTTTCAATCTTTTCCATTATATATCTCCCTTTTTCTTCTTTTTCTTCTTTTCCATTGTATTTATAAAAAAAAATGGTCACTGATGATGAAGAAACTATACATTACATAATTTTTTTCTACTGAAGTGGCTAAAAAAACAAAAAATAAGTGGTCATCATTACTTTAAAAAATGAAGGTCAGTCAGCCCGAAAAACTGGGAAAACTTTTAAAGTGTCCCCAAGTGCAGTCGCAAAAACCATCAACCGCTACAAAGAAACTGGCTCACATGAGGACCACCCCTGGAAAGGAAGACCAAGAGTCACCTCTGCTGTGGACGGTAAGTTCATCCGAGTCACCAGCCTCAGAAATGGCAGATTAACAGCAGCTCAGATTAGAGAACAGGTCAATGCCACACTGAGTTCAAGCAGCACACAGATCTCTAGAACAACTGTTAAGATGAGACWYTGGCTGTGTCCAAAACGACAGGCCGGGTCCTCCGGAGGACCCAGACTCCCCGGTCACGGCGGGCCGGGTCCTTGGTAGACCAGGAAGACCGGAAAAAAAGAGGCTGTGAATTTGGACAGTCTAGCCTCCCCTCCTTACCCTGGCGTACGTCTTGTCACCTAGCAACTGTAACGACGCAAAACAAGGAAACTTAAATCAAAACTAGAAAAWTATCAATACATTAGCATTATTAATATCACAAAACTATAAAATTAACTTAAACGTATCATTTGAAGAACTAATTGACCCGCTGTAGGTTCATGTTTATTTCGCGTTTTTTTTATGACGAAAAAACAATATTTAAAAACATGTCCATACAAATGATAAAAGTATTAGAATTTCGACCGCTATTTTTTTATTTTTATATCACCATATTTTTATTTAAAATGTATTATTTTCTCTCGCTTCGTCCACCATTACTAGCATAAAAAATCTCCGGTCGGGCCGCAATGCATTATGGGATATGCTGGGCCGGGAAGATCCATCGGACCTGTCCTTCGATTCGGGCCAAAGGAAGGACATATTTGTCGGCCGCATCGGAGGAGTCTTCGGTTTTGGACGTCCTTCGTCGCGGTGCTGTGATGTATGCGGCCGACGAATTCAGCCTTCGGAGGACCCGTCCTGCCGTTTTGGACACAGCCTGTGTGAAACCACTGCTAAGGACAGGCAACAAGCAGAAGATACTTGTTTGGGTTAAAGAACACAAGGAATGGACATTAGACCAGTGGAACTCTGCCTGGTGATTCCAAATTTGAGATTTTTGGTTCCAACCACTGTGTCTTTGTGTGATGCAGAAAAGGTGAACAGATGGACTCTACATGCCTGGTTCCCACTGTGAAGCATGGAGGAGGAGGTGTGATGGTGTGGGGGTGCTTTGCTGGTGACACTGTTGAGGATTTATCCCAAACTGAAGGCATACTGAACCAGCATGGCTACCGCAGCATCTTGTAGCGGCATGCTATTCCATCCGGTTTGTGTTTAGTTGGAAAAAAACTTTTTTTTTCAACAGGACAATGACCCCAAACACACCTCCAGGCTGTGTAAGGGCTATTTGACCAAGAAGGAGAGTGATGGGGTGCTGCGCCAGATGACCTGGCCTCCACAGTCACCGGACCTGAACCCAATCGAGATAGTTTGGGGTGAATTGGATGAACCGCAGACTGAAGGCAAAAGGGTCATTAAGTGCTAAGCTTCTCTGGAAACTCCTTCAAGACTGTTGGAAAACCATTTTAGATGACTACCTCTTGAAGATCATCAAGAGAAAACCAAGAGTGTGTGAAGCYGTAATCAAAGCAAAAGGTGGCTACTTTGAAGAACCTAGAATATAAGACATATTTTCAGTTGTTTCARACTATTAGTTGTTAAGAATATAATTCCACATGTGTTAATTCATAGCTTTGATGCCTTCAGTGTGAATCTACAATTTTCATAGTCATGAAAATAAAGAAAAGTCTTTGAATGAGAAGGTCTGTCCAAACTTTTGGTCTGTACTGTACACACACACACACACACACACACACACACACACACACACACACATTAAGGGATACAATGAAGAAATTTAAAGTTATT